AAAAGAACTTTTTTCCTATCTCATTGTGCCAAGAGATTTATTATTTGCTGTTATAAAAAAAATGATAAAAACCTTTAGAAGGAGCACTATCTGGGTCTTTGGAGGGATACTATATCTTATATTCTTGTGAAACTAATTTCAAAGTTTAGAAAGGAGCCTTAAACTGTAGGTTTAGACAGATAAGTTCTTTTCTGCATCTCCTGGTATTTTAAAAGTGAAAACTTTATGTTTACAAAAGGAGGAATTTTAAAAGAGTAACAAGAATTTTTCTTAGATCTGAGATTCCAACAGTAGTTCAGCATCAGCGTTAGAAGCTGAGACTTCATTATATTTTGTTCCTTATCTCTTTTTTTTTTTTTAGAAGACAAAGTCTTGCTCTGTAGTCCAAGCTAGAGTGCAGTGGCATCAGTGTAGCTCACTGCAACCTCAAACTCCCAGTGATCCTCCTGCCCCAGCCTCCCCAGTAACTGGGACTACTGGTGTGTGCCACCATACCTGGCTAATATGTTTTTAGTTTTTTTGTTTTGTTTTTTATAGAAACAAGATCTCTCTATGTTGTCCAGGCTGGTCTCAAACTCCTGGGCTCAGGTGATCCTTCTGCCTTGGCCTTCCAAAGTGCTGAGATTACAAGCCACTACACCCAGCTTGTTCTTTATTTTAAAGGAGTTTCATCTGGTTACCTGTCAAATAACCTAGGTGTTTTATTGGAAATGGTAGAGTACACTGAGTGATTATGAGAACAAATAGAACTTGTCCTTACAGAACATCTGCTATTTTCGGACATTGCTGTGCTTTTCAAGTATTTAAGTCAATAGACTATTACAAGAGTGTTGTGCTGTGCACAATATTTCCTTAGTAAATACTAGATTTAGGTTGTGCTTGACTCAAGGGATAAGGGGGAGAACTGAAACTATTCCACTTTTTATTAGAACAGTGCACCGAGGAATGGCTATAGCCACAGGAAGTCTTCTTTCTTTCCAGTTTTAATGAAGTTTGAGGAACCTTTTCACCCCTCAGTTAACTCCTCCAGTTTCCAAGCATCTCCATGCCTATCTTGCTCTACTCTACTACTGCTGCTTACTGTTGCCCTAGGACTGATTCGGGACATCTTTGTGGCTGTAAAAGAGGAACAAATTGGGGAGAATAAGCTCAGAGGCCATTTCTTCCTCACTTATCCGTCATAGTGCGAGTTGCCCCAGCAGAACTCTTAGCAACCCTCCCCATGCTTTACTCAGCCCCCCAGCCCCTCCACCCACAGCAGCCAAGGCTGGTGCTTCACACCAGAGTTTCTAGGGATTTGTTGTGGCAAAAGGCAGGGGCTTCCTCTCCCAGTAGCAGCTAGCTAGGAGTCACTGGTGCTGGTGCAGTAGGCAGTCAGAGAGAGCTGGTCTGGGCTTGTGTTATTTATGGATATCACATTTTTAAAAGAGAAAATGATGCATTCAATATTTGTGTTTTCCCTCTTTGGCTAATTAATGATGTATTATAGACTAAGTTACCTTATCTCTGTTCCCCAATATTATTTCTGTGTTAATGTCCTGAAAACATCCTAAGAAGTCTTAATTCTACCAATGATGGGATATTCAGAGGCAAAACGAGGGATTCCAACTGGACTTGTATCAGGCCATGATCATTACAATATGAACCTTACTGATTTTGAGGCTACGCAACTGACAGCTCAAGAGAAACAAACATGGCCACTCTGTTGGGTCAGGCTATCTCATAACCCTCTTCTTCTTCTCATAACCTATCTCATAACCCTCTTCCTCTTCTCAGAGGAAGAAATGGCCTCTGAGCTTATTCTCCCCAACTTGTTCCTCTTTTACAGCCACAAAGATGTCCCGAATCAGTCCTAGGGCAACAGAGAGACCTGCCTAAGGAGACCTGCCTAAGGAGCTCACAAATAAAATAACTGCTACATCTCTGGATGGTAGAGTCTAGTAAGGCAATGGAACGGGATTCTCCAACCCGACAATGGCTTGATTTCTGCTTTTTGACTTCCTTTGAATTCTTTTATCACTCTTCTAGTGATCATTGACATAGATAGATTCTTGTATTTGCTATTGTCATTAGAGCAAGCAAGTTCCAGTTTTGGAATGTACTCTGTATCCCTGATTCTTCTTTGATTGTTGTAAGCTTTTTTTCTTTGTCTTTCATTTGGGATATTTTTTTTCTTTTTTCCTGCTTCTTCTTCTATTCTCTAAGGACATTTTCCCTTCATTTGCTATGTTATTCTGGTAGCAAAGCACAGTGGTTAGGAGCATAACAGTCAGAAGGCCTGGGTTTAGATCCCTACTCTGCTTTTTACCATCTGTATAACCTTAAACAAGTTATCTAATCTCTCTGTTAGCCTTGATTTTCTAATCTGTAAAGTGGGGATGTAACAGTACCTGCCTCTAGGAATATTGTGAGGTGTAAATAAGATGATTCATGAGTTGCTCACAAAAGTGTGCCTGACACTCAATAAATGTTAACCCTTATTATTAATTTTAATATTACTACCAATATTAAAAATAACTTCATGGCTTAAGGTGTTACCTCAGCATAATTAATGATCAAATATTTACCCATAGTATGATATCTCTCCCACATTTTAGCAGCTGCCTTTGGGTCATTTCTACCAAGAATTCCACTGCATCTCAAATGCAAAATAGCCAAAGCTAGATTCATTATCTCTTACCAAACTTACTTCGTTTTGTTTTCCTCACATTTATGTTAATGACATCATGATATCATAGTTTTCTCAGTCTCTTAATTTAGGATTAATGTTAGACACTTTCCTTAGCTTAAAGTGATAATTATGAATGTACGTGAATTTAGTACAAAGTTGTTCATTGTTTATAATTTTAGGCAGTGAAGAATAAGGGATGGGTTAACTCATTAACTGCCATGTGAGTTGTATTTAACTCATGCTAGGTTTTAGTCCAGGGCCTCGTGAAGCATATGTAACTCACACATCTCCTTACCTTGGAACCTGCATGAACTGTTTTTCAAGTTGCATATAACTCACACACAGAAAAAAATTAAAAAATAACAAATTTTTCATTAAATTAGAAAGAATTATTTTGTTTTTAAAGTTTTTATTCTATTTTCTTAATAAAATACCATGGCCCCAAGGGAAAAAAATATTTTTCCTAGTGCGGCAGTCAATGTGTTAAATAACTTTCATATTTATTTAATGGAATTCTCTATAACTATTAAAATTATATAGAAGAATATCAATAACATGAAAGGAGATATTGCTGGCAAGTTGAGTTAATATAATGTATATAATATGATTCCATTCTGATTTTTAGAAGTTCATGGATACATAAAAAAAGATTAGAAAGATAACCACTGAAAAAATTTTGTTGTAGCTTGTGTGGCTTGTAGGATTATAACTGGTTTTGATATTTTAGTTTTTTTTTTACAAGTTTTCTAAAATAATGTATATATTACTTCCGTATAAGGAAAAAATTCCTTAAATTTAGATAAAAAAAGGAATAGGTAATGTCTAAGTCTTCTAAATAATATACTTTATTGACCTTTTAAGAATAGCCAAGAGCAGTCCTGGATATGCAGTAGGCACTCAATAAATATTTGTTGATATTGAATGAAATAATTTTACTTTTCTATACATTTTTAGAAATAACTTTTTAAAGGTAAAAGTGCTTAATGCCTCAAGCATTTAGTTTGTAGAATTCTTTGAAAAGTATTCTTTTTGCAGTCCTTCCAGCAGTGTAGCAGTGTTCCTCTCTCTCTGTATCCACACCAACATCTATTGTTTTGGGACTTTTTGATAAAGGCCGTTCTTACTGGAGATAAGTGATATCTCATTGTGGTTTTGATTTGCATTTCCCTGATGATTAGAGATGTTGACCATTTTTTCATATGTTTGTTAGCCATTATTCTGTCTTCTTTTGAAAAGTTTCTGTTCGTGTCCTTTGTCTACTTTTTGATAGGGTTGTTTGATTTATTTCTTGCTGATTTTCGTGAGTTCTAAGAGGATTCTAGTTATCACCCCCTTATCAGATGTGTAGGATGTGAACATTTTCTCCCCTTCTGTAGGTTGTCTGTTTGCCTTCATGACTGTTTCTTTGGCTGTGAAGAAGCTTTTTGTTTTGATCATGTCCCATTTATTTATTTTTGTTGCTGCTGTGATTGCCTTTGGGGTCTTCTTCATAAATTCTTTGCTTAGGCCAATGTCTAGGAGAGTGTTTCCAACATTTTCCTCTAGAATTCTAATAGTTTCATACCTTAGGTTTAAATCTGTTACCCAGTGTGAGTTGATTTTTGTGAGAAGTGGAAGGTGTGGATCCTGCTTCAGCCTTCTGTGGAAAGCAATATGGAGATATCCTAAAACGATACAAGTAGATCTACCATTTGATCCAATCCCACTACTGAGCATCTACCCAAAAGAACAAAGGACAATCTACAATAAAGACACCTGCACTCAAATGTTTATAGCAGCACAATTCACAATTGCAAAGCTATGGGAACAGCCCAAGTGCCCATCAGTATATGAGTGGATTAATAAAGTGGTATATGTATACCATGGAGTACCATTCAGCTCTAAGAAACAATGGTGAAATAGCACATCTTGTATTTTCCTGGATAGAGCTAGAACCCATACTATTAAGTGAAGTATCCTAAGAATAGAAAAACAAACACCACATATACTCACCAGCAAATTGGTATTAACTGATCAGCACCAAAGTGGACACATAGGAATTACATTTATTGGGTATTGGGCAGGTGGGAGGTGCGAGGAGGGGACGGGTATATACATACATAATGAATGAGATGTGCACCGTCTGGGGGATGGTCACACTTGAAGCTCAGACTTGTGGGGGGATGGGGGGGCAAGGGCATTAAACACAACCTTAAAATTTGTACCCCCATAATATGCTGAAATAAAAAAATGTATTCTTTTTTGTTGACAAAAAGTTTCTCCATAAACAAAATAAACCAGACTGGGTGTGGTTGGATGTTTCCTAATACTATGTAACTTATCATTTCAGAGGATAATGTGACCAAAAGGAGAGCATTTGGAATTGATTCTTCAGAAAACATTAGTCATAAAAATGAACCAAATGACCACCATTTTAGAAATAAAACCATCTTTCTTCATACCTCATCACAATGTTCAGAAGAAGAACAGGTAAATACCATAGCACATTTATAGAAACAGTCTGAGGAGGAAAGCATTCTTCATGAATTAAAAAAAAGCGAGACTGTAAGAAACATTAGACAGTTATTGAAACTGTAACTCCTAATTCTAGAAGGAGTACCATTGGGGCACTTTGTTACATTTCATAATTTTAACAGCCATTGTGTATGATATAACTAGTTATCCCCAGTTTTCATTAAAAAGCTCTTAAGGATCTGCCATCTATAAATTCTTGAATTTATTTATATCTTTTAGCTTCTATTTGGGACAAAAGAGTTCCTTTTCATAATTCTTAGTGTAAAATGGGACATTCTTTTATCTGTTCTAGATTCATCTCTTTCAAACTTAAAAGTTTCTGTTATCTTGGTTTTTCCAAGATGTCATCAGTAAATGTTGGATATTCTTTTTCAGATCCTCAGGACTTTATAGATTCTCTTCACATTTTCCTCAGCTATGTTTTTTAATTATCAAAGAATCATAGGGGAAGCTCTTCTACTTTTTAAGCCAGCTGAGTTTATAATTTCTACTTCGTGTTATCTTTCCTGTGATATTGTGGACAGAATTATGTAAGAGATTATGGTTTTATACAGGGAATAAAAATCTCTGTGTTAGAAATGTGTTTATATATAGCATGTGCCTATAATTCTTTATTTCCAGAACTTGTTTCCAGTGAGATTATTGTGAATTTTTTTTCCTAGAGGATTCACTTTTTACTGGCAGTTATTGACCATTGAAATTATATCACATATGGAGTCTTTCACCAGCATGTGAAAGGCAAAGAATTGTTGAATGGGATTGTTTTCTTGAAAATGTTGTGTTAGCATTCTCTGATTTGTCCATCAGAGGTTCAATGGGATGGGATAGGAGATGGAGAATGTTCTTGTTTTCCACATGAGAAGGCTGGGATTAAGTAATCTACTCTACGTTATGCTGTGGATGAGTCTAGAGGAAGAAGTCAAAATCAGAGCTCCTGAAACCTACTCCCTGACCACTCTATGGCTTAGTGAATTTGGTCTGTCATGCATAGCTAATTAACAAAAACTGGAAAGAGAGTTTTATCATCTGAAGGGCTACAAGATCAGCTCCTTTATTTTATGTTGTTTCATTTTCCCATCAATATGTTCTCCCTGTATTTTCAGATAGTGATGGATGAAGGCCAAAAAGTTGGCAGTTCCTTTCAAGGTGATCTGAATCGGGCAGGAAAGGTGAAGGTAAGGCATGATTCAATTTTCTTTTCGGGCAAAAAACACAAAAAATAAACAGAAATCACAGGACTCATTTGCTGTCTCTTATATAAAGTTGGAGACTTCAGCAGATTTTGTCCTCACACATTTTTCTTTTCTTTAAGTTGGTGTTTGGCTGTCTTAAACCATTCTTGGTTAGCTGGCCTCTGGATCTTTTTTTCTTAAAGCTGAACCATGGAAGGAGTGCTTTGATATATATATAGAATAATGACTATAGTCCCCTTAAGCATCACCATTAAGAAAAATGACAATATAAAATAACAGATTCCCAAATTTTAGAACTGAAACCATCATATGGAAGATAAATTTTTGCTGTCACTTGGATTCCAAATAATAACCACAGTTACGTACTTATAAGCAATGGAAATAGCATTTTAAATTCCTATGTAATAGCCGTGGTCCAGCAAGTAGAGCTGAGGGAAGAAAGACCCAACCTCTCTTTTGAATTCCTATTATGAAATCTAAATTTGTAATTTTAAGATATTTTGTTATGCATGTGTTTAGGTCATGAACATAAAAGGCATTGCAACCTTATGCCTTTACTAGGTCTCATTCATGCCAGTGGTGAGATCATTTTCTTATTTACACCCTTTGATATTCCCTTGAGATGAATTAGTTCATGTCTGAAATGTTACCATTTTGTTAATCTGAAATGTCTCATTGTCAGCTTGCAGTGGAAAGCAGTAGTCCATGTGGAACAGTTTTTCATTGAAATGCTGCTATTGTGTCTGTAAAGGTCATTTGTGCTGCTTTTTACCTTTGAAGTAATTTTCGGTTTTATTTGCTTGAAAGAGAGAACACTTGATTTTTTGCCCTGCCCACCTCTGTTGTGATTTTGTTTTGAATGGATTTTTCTCTCTGGCTTTCTTTAGTTTCTTCTCTCTGGCTCTTCAGAGTGCTATAAGAAAGCACGCTGTTACGATAATAGCCAGACCCACTCCCACCACCGTGTACTTGACAGGCAAAAGCAAAAAAGTGAAAACAAAACCCTGAAACACTGTTTTGGACTGTCATGATGGTGGTATATATTCTGGGATAGCATCTGGAACAAAATCCCTTTTCAAAAACGCCCAGAGTGTTTCTTCTCTTTCAGTATAGAGGTACGACTATGGTGCTTACAAAATCTAGGCCAACTTCCAAATTAACTGCTTCTTTCAGATGTCTCTGGGAAAGCACAGTGAACACAAAGGCCTTGAGCGGGGACTCAGGAGTTATTGAGAAAAGTGGATTTAGCTGCTCAGTTTGGTGTTGTAGAAATGTATTCATTGCATTTTTCCCTTAATTCTAATATCCATAAAATGTTTTCAATCCTTTTCTAGATAGACAATTTTCTAGATCTAGAAGATTTTGACGTGGATGAAGAGATTAAGCCTCAAATGAGCAAGGGTATGTTTTCCATTTCCTTTCTATACTGCTTGACCTCTTTCTAGAAACTACAAATAAGGCTTTAGACAGCTTTCCTTTTTATGGCAATCCTTACCTCTACTTCTCCAGGGATAGGAAAAACTGAAGTTGTGAGCTTTCTTTTTTACTAACAAAGATTTCAGCTGAAAGGTCAAAGCTTCTTGAAGATTGTAAAACCTTTGGACTTAAGTAAGTCCTCCCTACAATTTACCACATGATTGATTCTTGGATAATTGCCTCAAGTAGAGCCATTGTAAATTCGACTTCTTATTTCCTAGAAACACAGTCTTATGAATTGAGGTTATTTTCGAGGGACACATAAAATGTCAGTCGGTCACAAAAAATCATAAGAATATCATCATTGATCACAAACATAAAAAAGAGAAGAAAATCCAAATTTTTGCTTTTAAAACATTTATTAAATATGTAAATTAAACATGTTAATACTAAAGATAAGTCGTTCATGTTTCTTCTGGAGCATTTTTCCACATGGCCTGGATGGAAGAGGCTTAATGGTAGTCCATTGAGGTTTATATAGAAGACAACCTTTTCCCTTTCTTGGTTAACACTACTGTGTAAGTATAGGTCCTTTGTTGCTTGAAGTACCTTTGGAATATGTTCAAAATTAGGGTCTTTTTTTTTTTTTTTAAACACTCATTCCTGATTTAATATGCAAGATCTCAAAGTTAGTGTTGAATTTTAAAGCAGGGGCAACTTCCAAGGGGGTTTGATTGTTGACGTTTAACTATTGTTTACAGTCTTTAGGTAGTCATAAATGTGAATTATGGCCATTATTGTTGGGGAAGGATGGCTTATTTATAATCAGACAGAAAGTGACTGGGTGTGGCTGATTTGGAGATGATGACAATCTGTACATTGGTTGTATAAGCCCCTGCTCTAGCTTCCTTGGCTGCTTGAATTTGAGATGCTTTGGTAAATTGGAAGCATTTTTATTCTGCTTCCAAACATTATGCTACTCCGTGAAAGGATTGCTTCTCAAGCACACTATTAACAAGTAGACTTTGCAGATTCTTTTGTTACTTATTTGGTTTAAGTGAGATCAGAGTTCTAAAGGAATCACATCCTCCAGGGAGAAGGTCTCTAACTTTAATATCCTAAGTGGCTCTAAATTTCTGTAATCAGAGCAGCACAGGGGCTCCAGTTGGATTAGAAGGGAGAGCTAAGGACTTGTCAGGAAGCTGCATTTGTAGAGCAAGCACACTGTCTTGGATTTTGGGTAATTTGAGGAGGGAAGCTTCTTAAAAAATGCAGTTTCCTGGGTCCTGCTCCCAAGAGAGAATCTAATTCAGAAGATTTGGTGGCATCTAGTGATCTGCATTATAACCAGCACCCCAGGTGATTCTGATACAGTTCGTTTGAGGGTGACATGTGGAGACAAATGGTTTTAGTCTGCATATAATACATTTGCAATATAAAATAAATTTTATAAGAGGGCACGAAAGCACTTGTATTGGAAATTTTTGAGATAGTTTAAATTTCTCACTTCTTTCCAGTAATGAGGAGGTTTGTATACTGACATAAACCCACACAGCCAGCAAGTATGATTTTTGTTATCTGTCTTTTAAGTTAGCCTTTTAACCTTTTCCATTATTTTCACATTGCTTTCTTTAAATATTTTTTCAAGTTACATTTTTTTCATTAGTAGGTTTATTTTTTTATGTTAAAAATTGAATAAAAACTTCTCACTAAGTATGATTTTTCCAGAAATCAGATAACAGGCAGTCTTGCATTTGTGTATTAAAAATTACTAAGACTGAACCAAGTCTCAGTGGACTTGAATGAACTGGTCAAGACTTCCACATGTAAAGTAATGTGCAAAGACCCAGGCTTCAGTGATGTATTCTAATTACTGAAAAGATCACCAGGGCTTCACAATTTTCATAATGCACAATCTGGGTCACTTGAAAAGAAAAAAGAAGTTAAATAGTTTGTGCCAAGGTGAATTGTAGTTTGGGCCTAATTTGTATTACACTTCAGGAATGTGAGCAGAAGGCAAATATTTATATCAGATGGGAAATGTGACATTTTAAATAGTCAAGTTGCTTGTATAATTTTGGCAGCTGGAAGGTTTACTGATTAGATTCTGTTGTTATTGTTTAAGCAACACATTTGCCTCAGGCGACTAGAAAGTGGGTTGCATATTGTTTTTCTACCATTGATTTTATTTGTCCCCCTTATTCACTCTCATAAATATTCTCCAAGATTCAGGAGCATAATATTTTCCCAATATTTGGTTTATCGTTTGGGCAGCTCAGGTGGAAAGAGTGGAGACTGTTTTTCAGTGAAGCCACCTCTGTGCAGTGGTATCAACTAGTTGTCTGAGGGTAACATTTGCCACAGAGTTTTATGCCCTGTGTTTATTTGGCATTAAGTTAATCACTTTTTCCTCCTCTGAATTTGAGATAAGGCAGTTAACCTGGTGACTGTCGTGTCTCAGACAAGCTGGCACGAAGTATTATCCAGCAAAATTATCATTTGGATTAGTTGTTAGTTGTTATGCTGAGGCCATTAGGAAGCATCTTATGTTCATCTTTTTTTTTTTTTGCCTCCTCAGTTAGCCCAACCTCTTCTCTGGCTGAGTGAGATTGTCTAAAGGGACCTTTTTTTTTTTTTTTTGAGTCTTGTTATCATACTTGCTTATACAAGTCTCTTGTCCACTGTGGTGTACTTAGGTTGATTGTGTGAATGAGAATGGCACTCATTCCTGCTAAAAGATTGACAGCCTTGTTTGATTTTTATTCAAGTTCTCAGTATTATACTTCCAGTAATTTTATGTCATAATGTCAAATAAAATGACAACATCTGTCACTTTTTTTTTTTTTAATTCTTTCCTCATCTGCAACTCGAAGCAGTTTTAGGCAGCCTCTAAATGACCACAGACTCTTACTCAACAAATATTTAACAACTGTGGCTGGGTAGTGGTTGGAATATAGTGAAGAATAAAACGACCAGGTTTCACCTCATATAATTCATTAATTTATCCAAAAATCAGACATTAGAACACTGAATTATTCGTGAGTTTAAAAAATACTGATGCGTTCTCCTTGTTGGATTGTTTTAATGTCTGATGTGTGTGTCCTGAGAATGGCAGTTGAAACTCTCTAAGTGATTCTAACGTCCAATTTACGGCTGAAAATCATCTTTAGAAAAAATCTGGAGATGTACTATCTAGTCCCTGCTCTAAGGGCTGTAGATGTGAACCCTGGAATTTGTTTGAATCTAAATGTATACGGAAATTTTTAGTGTTTGGAGGATGTGATCTTCTAGACGCACTTCTCATTTTGTTGACAGTAAAAGGAGATAGATCACCTTAATCTAATCTAGAATTGAGATGATTAAGGACTAGTTTCTGCTTTTTGTGAGAGTTGTTCTTTTAGTTTTGCTGACTCCTAGGGTGTAGCCCTTCAAATAAATCATAGCCCCCTTCTTGGGAGCACCTGAACTCTAATATTTCTTTTCCCAGCATTGTGAATCTCCTGGTGGCTGTAAGTTTTCAGCTTACTCCTTTCATCTTAGGTTCTCAAGCTCTTTAGCCTCTGCTTGCAAACCATGAATGAAAAGTAGTTTAGACTCTTAGGCTTACTTCTCAGAGCTTTCCCTGGGGATCTTGGTTCCTCAAGTCCTGGACTGCCCTAGTAGGCTCTCCAATGCCTTTAAATAGTTGATTTTATAATTATCTAGCTTTTCTAGTTGTTATCTTGGGGAGGGTTGGACTGATATTAGTTAGACAGCAGATGCCTGAGGATGTAGTCTGAGAGCTCCGTGGGACTCTGAGGTCTGCAGGTCAAGTGTTTGATTTGCATTGGTGTTGCAACAAGCAGTGTGTGGGTGAAGATGCTACTACCTTAGTGTGCATCAAGTGGTGCACCAATTTTTATACAGTTGAAGTCTTCGGGGTGACAAATTTATAGTCAGAACAAATGCTGGTTTCCACTGAAAATATCCTTGATGAGTAGTAAAAAATATTAATTTTATTAAATCTTGATTTTGATTATACCTCCTTTTAGTGATTTATGTGCCACAACTATAAGTATTTATAAAGCACTTATTTGTGTGCTGAAATACAATGGTTGTCTTGTGGAAAAACATTTGGGTGATTATTATTTAGTTTTTAACATTTTTTTATTTAGAGACAGGGTCTGTCTTGCTCTGTTGTCCAGCTAGTGCAGTAGCATACCACAGCTCACTGTAAATACTCCC